CCTCCCCTCGACCCTCCCCCCACCCTCTCATCCCTCACATCCATCAGCGGCCTCGAGAGCCAGCGTTTCCTTCGCCATGATAGACTCTGGCAGCTGCCGTCACTCGGCACGGTGCAGGCGACCGACGATCACTTCGACTCTGCCGAGGTGTTGGGGCGTCTCGTGCGGACGGCACAGTACCTGAAGGGCCTCGACATGGAGATACGGCCCGACATCCTGGCTGAGTCGTTGACGGCCATCCCCGTGACAGCAGGAGGTGGGCAGCCCGGCCCCCTCTCACAGCTGGAGCTCGTCGGCACACTCGGCGTCTTGGGGCGGTCAGATCAGATCAGTATCAACCAATGGCGCAACGGACTCGAGCGGCTACAGGTAGGTGCACACAACACACACACGTCGGGGTGAGTGGTGCACCGTACCGTCGGTGTCATTCCTCTCAGGCCGTGCTTGTTGAGCGTGGGTGTCATTCCATCAAGCAGCTCGATGTGGACTTCATCGATGGACCCGTTGACGAGGACATCTTCGCGGCGCTGTCGGTCATGGAGGCCTTCACACGCACCGTGTGTGTCAAGCCCGACATCCCCGTCAGCATCAATGTCTACGACGCGATGTCGGAGCGGGCCGTCCCGATCTTCGACCTCTCTCTCCTGTGTGAGGTCCCCACCCGCCCCGCCCCCTCCTTCTTCGTGCAGAAGCACATCCAGCAGCTGGCCGCCGACACACCGACGGCATGCTTCGTCATCGCCCCCCACCACTTCACCACCCCCCTCGACACACCCAGCCCATCTGCCGTGGCCCTCGCCCGATGCATGACCTTCCTCAAGGCAGACCAAGTGGAGGTCTTCGAGCAGGGGCGCTTCTTGGGGGCCCAGTGGGAGCCTGACGCTGACGCCGAGCCGCCCAACCCCACGGTGATCGACCAGCTTCCCGCCAGCGCATTTCCCACCGCATCGCGCCTCTACATCTACAGCACTAAGGGGTATGCGATCGGCAAAAAGCTGGCGTCGAAGATGCCGGCGGTCAGAGATATCGAGCTGTATGAGACGATGGAGGCGGATGCGGTGGGCGTGCTGGAGGCAGTGGGCGGCGGCGGCAGCCCGATGCGGTGTGAGATCAGGCACATGACGGCTGTGAGTGAGGAGGGGCTTCGGTGGGGAGACAAGGCGGACGAGCTGCCGAGCATCGAGCAGCAGCATGTTTGCGTGGAGGGTAAATTCCAGAGAATGTCTATCATCTCGGCTTGCTGTCCTCGCTGAACGTCGCTGTGTGTGTGTGTGTGTGTGTGTGTGCAGTGCCCGAGGATTTGGGCCATGGTGATGCCGCCGGCGAGTTCGGCGTTTCGTGTGTGTCGTCGCTGCTCAAGATCCGCGGCATCGAAGAGCTCAAGCTCCGGCTGGAGCCTCCGGCTGCCTTCCAATCCTTCAAGCGGCTGGTGAGGGAGCGGAGACACGGCGACACCATCGAGGGCCTTCCTGGACGCTTCGACAGTATCGGGTGGACGACACACATGGGAATTCATATCTGGCGACCTGTTGGGGCATGCTTTCTGCTGAAGCCAAAGTCCATCTAGGTACGGGGCACCCTGAGACCTTTGTGTGGCGCCGCGTCATGTCATTTCCTGTGCGTCGACAGATTGCGTCCGTCGTATCGATGAGTGAGAGTCGCCCGTCCATCCGATGGTGAAGATTGATGACAGACAGATGACTATCGAACAGTGACCACAGACCGACAGACCGACCCCATTCATGTGTGCATCTGTGTGCGTATGCATACCGCATCAATCCATTGCATGTGTGTGCAAGAAATGAATTCACTGCAAGCACGGCCATCAATGTCACTGCTAAATCAGTCTTTGCCCGCCCAGCCAGCATCCATCGTCTGTCGTCACCTCAATGCACCAAAGTCGGAGACACGTAGGCAACGATTGTCAGCCATGCAACGGGAGAGGCGACACAACCGACGAATATAAAATGTAAGTAGTGATCTTTCCTTAACAGCCGATTGCGTCGAGGAGAAATGCACCCTCGCCGCGTGTCTGATCGCACACACCACAGACAAAACAATGGATGTACCTTCACGCAGTGACGTGTCAGGCCCCCTCCATCTCTCTCTCTCTCTCTCTGTGTATGTGTGTGTGTGTGCATATGTATGTGTGGTATGTCATAGCGTCAATACAGTAGATATCGACTGTTGGAGACGTGTCTAATACTCCAACAGTCGGTCGTCATGGCCGACGACGGTTGGCTCCCCCCCCCTCTCTCTCTCTCTGGAGGAATGGCTGAGATCGGTCGCTTTCTCCTCTGTGTGTAGTCCACAATGTGTGTGTACCGGCCTGTCTGCCTGGCTGTGTTGATGGACTGACTGACGGACGTGTGTGTGTGAGCATTGATTGCATCGTATTGCTCATGTCCGTGTGGTGAATATATAGTGCACATCGACTCGATGCACAGAAATGAATCCACATGCAGTCACTCACTCAAAACTCCATCACTCTCTCTTCAAGCCAGACAACACCACCCTCCGATTCATCAACACCGATATAGACACGGCAGCCGTTGTCCGCGAGCCGTCAACTTTTCCGAATCATCAGACGGCCAGGCAGGCAGCGAGAGAGAGAGACAGACATATATTATATATAAGCACACAGGCTCAATTCCAGCCGGCCATGCAATTAAGGAGCCGTTCACATTTCTACGCAGCCCTCATCCAGAGAGGCAGACAGACACGTGTGCACAGCCACGGGGGGGCCGTCATGTCATGTAGCTGTCTATCAAGACCCATTCACTGCTGCCGTCTCCACACATGACAGCAGCCCTCCATGATCGTGGCACGGCACCCATCCCTCCCTCTCTCCCTCTCTCTGCAACTCATTCTACACATCAGCTATTGATGGGCCGACCTGACATACAAACATGATACCAACACTGCAGGACATCACATCGACGCAGGATAGCCATACCGTACCTGTTGGTAATCTTCTGTCAGGCGTCAAGCCGCTGGAGAGTGAGTTCATCATCATCATATTCCCCCGTCCAGCTAATGTCAAACCGGCCCTCAATCCCCTCGATCGTGTCACCGTGTGTCCGCTCCTCCACCAACCGCTGGAAGGCGTCGCTGGGCACCGGCTCGAAGGTAAGCTTCTTGATGCCGCGGATCTTGAGCAGCGACTTGACACACGCGATGCCGAACTCGCCGGCGGCATCGCCATCACGCAGATCCTCAGGCACTGCACACAGACAAAGGGGCAGCAGTCACCACAACGGTCAGCAGGCTGGTCCAAGCGATTATTTGCAGCTCACCTTCTACACTAATACGCAGTTCTGAAATGGCCGGCAGCCGCCACGTCCCCCCACGTGAGACCCCCTTCACCCACACCCTTCTCGTAGCCGGCATGGAAGGACTCCAACTCCCTCTCCCCACCCAATGCCTGCAGCACCGCCACCGCTTGCTCTGTCGGCCCCCACAGCTTGATCCTCTTCAAGACGGGCATCTTAGTCACTAGCCTGCGGCCAATCTCGAGCCCCTTGCTGCTGTCGACGAACAGCAACGATGCAGCCGGGAATGCGTTGGGGGGCATGCTGTCGAACACAACTGGGTCGGGCTGGTCTGCATCGGGATTGGGCTCACACCCCTCCATGTCCTTGACGACCACACTCTCCGCTCTGGAGAATGTCAGGCACTGTGCGAGGGACCGGCCAGCGGGGCTGGGCGTGTCGAGAGGGCCGGGGATGGTGAGATAGTGGGCGCGGACGATGAAGCAGACACTATGTGATGCGGCGGCCAGCTGCTGGAGGCGGTTCTGCACGAAGGGGGAGGGGGCGGGGCGGGTGGGGACCTTACACAGGAGGCCAAGGTCGAAGCCGTCGTCGTCCTCAAATTCACTGACGACGAGGATGTCGACGGGGATGTCGGGCCTCACACACACGGTGCGGGTCAAGGCCTCGATGGCCGACAGGGTCTTGAAGATGCGGCTGTCGATGCAGGAACCGATGTCGATGCAGGACTCCTCGATCTTGATGCTGAGCTTCTTGATGGAGCGGCAGCCACGGTCGACAAGTACGGCCTGCACACAGACACACGCACATCACAAGCAAGCTCTCGCCCACCCTCTCTGGCCTTGTGTATCTTGTGTGCCTCGTCGCATACCTGAAGGCGCTGCAGACCCGCAGCGCGTATTTTCGGCATGGTGAGGGTGCCGATGTCCTCCAGCTGCGACAGCAGCCCCGGCTGGCCCGCAGCTGCTGTGGGGATCTGCGCCAGCGACTCAGCCATGGCGTCAGGGTGGCAGTCCACGTGCAGCTCCTTGAGGCGCCGTGCCGTGGCCACCAGCCCCCCCAACGTCTCCCGCCCCACCATCCCGACTATATGCAGCCTCTCCAGTGACGGCAGCCGCCAGTGCCGCCCGCCGCCGGGATAAGAGAGCCGATATCGCCTGATGGTCATGGATGTGAGGGCTGTGAGGGTGGGGGGCGGGTTGAGGGGAGGGGGGAATGACGCCGGCCGCTGCTCAGCAGCCATGATCATTTGATCCTCCTCCTCGTCAACGTGAATTCTCGATCCGCTCTTGCTGTACTCGATCGACTCCAACGTGCTCCCCGCCTGCTGCCCGGTTGCTGTGGCCGCAGCGGCTCTCCGCCCCATGCTTTGCCCTCCACCAATGCCGTGAGGATCTTCTCACCTATCCGCTCTAAATATCCATAGTGAGTGTATCCCAAGTTTGAGCGGAAGCCAGAGGGACACCGGACGACGATGGACTCGAGCCCCGTGAGCCGCCGGCCCCACTCGAAGGCGTCATTGAACGACAGGCCCCACCAGAAGCGCCGCTCCGCCGTGTCGTGGGTGTCCATCACCAGCCGTGTGATCTGGGAGCCGACGTGGCGCCACAGCCGCTGGGGCAGCGCTGCCACCAAATGGAGCGACAGGAATGAGAAGACGTAGGCAACGACAGCAGGCTGAGTGGACAACCACACACCACACAGACACACACAGCGGACATAATGAAGATCTGTGTGCTTGTCAGTGGTGTGTTTTGGTGCATCTTACGACTTGGCCGAAGCGCTGTGCGAAGGCCTCCAAATCTATGCTGTGCGATGGCGTGGCCTGCTGCTGCTGCTGCTGCTGCTGATGCTGTTGCTGCGGGTTGTCGGTGTCCATCATCGTGCCGTCTAACTGATCCTCCTCTCTCCGCCGCCCGCCTCTTTCGCTTCGGTGCCGACTCACTTACCAATTGTCACCAATGAATCAGTGACCATAGATTTTGCGATCTCAAGCGCCCCAAACGAGGGGCAGGGGCGTCTCAGACGCCCTGCGGAACAACAGCGCTGATGCGATACTCTGGACTCATCACCTCTTGGAGTATTGTCGAGATTTTGCTTTTCTCGCGGAGACGGGTCGCGACGAGGTGGCGATTCGGAACAAAAAGCGTAGCGGCTCACTCCCGCGGGTTTTGCCGAGTTTTCTTCGCCTTCGGCACGCCTATACACGCCAAGATGCCCATGAGGAGGACCTTCCGGCAGCCGGCGGCAGGTCTGCGCACCCGTAAGGGTTGATTATGATTTTGGATGTCTTCGCCCTTCATTCTCTTTGTGTGGCAGACTCCCGCCGCTATTCGCGACGAGAAGGCGGATGAGTGGAGCCGGCCTCTTGAAGCGGCTCTCCTGCGATGACGGTGCGACATTTGAGGGAAATCATCGATCCTCTGCACATTCCGTTCGGCCGCGTGGTGAGGTGCGCACGTCACCGTGCCGTGTAGTTATTCATGTCCATCCCCGTGTGTATGTAGCCCTCTATCCGAAGGAGCCACCTGCAACACCAACCATGACGTCATCGTACAGATTGCTGGAGAAAGGTAAGTGTCTTTCGTACGCGTGTCCTCAGCCTTTTGCGCACAGAACGACAGAAACACGCAATCTGACTTAGGCCGTTCGTTCTGCCGCTGTCCGCCTTCTATTGCCTCGTGCTGTCCGCAGAAAGCAGGGCACGGCGAGATTTTCGCGCGACGAGACGGGGACAAACCCGCAAACCCTGATTTTAAAGCTTCAAGCAGTTTTTCACATTTTTCATCCGTTTTCGGCTTTTCAACCTTCTTCAGGCCATATCTCCTCCATTTTCTCTTCCGGCTGTTTGTTGGCTGATCTTGTCCGCCTCATCTACCTCTTACTTCCCAGCTCGTCCAGATGTCATCCGCCACTGTTTCCTCCACCGCCGTGCACCAGGGCAAGGCCCCGCCTGGTGGTGCCCCGCGTCTGCGGAGCGGCTTGAAACAGAAGGTGAGAAATATACGCACACACACACATCCACATGTGTGGTCCTCCTTCTCTCTCCTTGTGTTGTGCAGGTGACAGTTGGTGTTGGTCGTGGCAAGACCGCCGGCAACAACAAGAGGGCGGCGGACACTGAGCCCGACGAGGGAGGCCAGCGAGGCGGCAAGGCGCGAAAGAAGAACTACCAGGCGGGCGCCGGCAAGAAGCGGCCGAGGGTGACGGCAGCTGTCGAGATAAGCTACCGACCACACACCATTGACACACAAGGGCACCGCATACACCCTTGTGTGTTTGCCGCTGTCCATGGGTGGTGCCTTGCCTTTATCAGGCTGAGGAGCGGCGGGGTGGCCGCACCTTCCACCGGGCCATCCGGGCGCTGTGCGAAGAGTTCTTTCAGGACTGGAAGCAGCAACAACCTGCCGACGCCTCAAAGGGTCAGCAGCCACACACACAACAGACACACGGTGCTTGCGCCTTTCTCTCACGTGTGTCTGTGTGTGTGTGTGATGTGTGCAATGCAGCTACGTATGCAGCTGCGGGGGCCGGTGCGGCCGTGACGACCACGCGCAAGGCCAACAGCAACGCCTTCGACGTGAAGGATGTGGCGGGCGTGGTCCTCGACAAGTGGCTCAAGTATGCCACATCCACACCACACACACATGGACAGATGGCTATACGGATGCCTTATTGTTGTTGCCGTGGTGTGTGCGGCGCCCCACATCCCCACCGGCC